TATATATGAATATATAAAAAATATATCAAAATGCGTGTGGGTACTCAAATGAAAGCTCTTGATGAGTGTAACATCGAAATGAGCTTATATCATTAAGAACATCATTAGTTAACAAATTGCAACAGTCATTACTTAATTCTTACAATTTTCGTAAATATAAGTCCATTCTGATGTTACACTCATCGAGACCTTTCATTTGAGTACCCACATGCACTTTTCATATATTTCATAAATATCATATATATGAAATATATAAAATATATAAAAAATTGATATGGGTACTCAAATGAAAGGTCTCGATGAGTGTAATGTCGGGATGAGCTTATATCTTTAAAAATGTCAATATTTAAGAAAGTACAGTGCAATTTAACGAAAGTCATTATTTAATAAAGCAAAATTTTAATTTTTTATAGTTCACAAGTCACGGCAGTTACATAGTGACTGCAAGTTTGCTAGTAGAATTTATTGAGTAAAAGGCAAAGTATAGAACCTTTTAAAACTTACATTACAAAATAAGTGAGTAATAATTTACCTAGCTTGCACTTTCTGTAATTGAACATTATGTATAATTAAAAATTCATTAACTTCTGCGAGTGCTAAATCAACAGCAGGTCCACATCGTTCTAGGTCAAACGGGCTGTCTAAATGGGATGCCATCAGCACTCCAACGTTATAAGTCCGCACAAACAATTCTTTCGCTTCAAAAATAAAGCAAAAAAAAAGTAATTTAAATTAAAATTTATTTCGACGTTACAAAAATTAAAACTTTCCACATTTAGATAATAAACTATTTGTTTGCAAGTAATAACAACAAAACATCTAATTCCAAATCTCAGTTATGATCAACGGACTGGAAAAATAATTCCCATTCAAATTTAATGCGTTGTCTAGATAATCCGCGCTTAATTTATTGTAATTTTATTCACTTTTTCCGAGCATTGCATCTATGTTATTATTTATAATTGCACCAGATTTTTATTATTATTATTTTATTTCAAGCATTATTATTTGTAAATAAATTAATAAATTATTTGAAATGTTAAAGAACTCAACTTACCTGTTATTCTGGATAAATAATTGCTTCTAGAGAAGAAAACGAACGCGGTAAAAAATAGAAGCACTAATTTTATTATTCTGTACTTTTTGCGCATTTTTTTAGTTTTATTTATAAATTTTCAAAAATTTATTTTTGATAAAAATAAATATTTGCGATAATTGTTTTTTGACGACTGGACTTCCGCTCAACGCGAACACTCAGTAACGTCTGACGTTTCGCAACAAGTTTCACCCCTATATATAGGGGTTGCTCTATATTCTGCATTTTTTCTATTATCATCAATCTTAACTTTAAAGAGAAAGTTTACTTGATAAATTAATAAATTATGAAAGTATTTTTTATAAATTTTCTTAAGAGAAAATTTTTATTTTTTTGTTACTGTCAAAAACAATTAATAGATAAATATTAATTTTTTTTAACTATTAAATTTATTATCTGTTAATATTTTTTTTTCACGATTAATTTTATTGATTAATTAATAAATAATAATCTATATTATGAAGAAAATAAGAAAAATTTTGTCTCTATAATAGACGTGTGATAAAATCAGTTTTGTTAGACAAATTAAGTGTCATTGCAAAGCTCATGACTTGAATTTGTACCTTTTTAAGGTTTTATATCATTCTCACCGATAGTCAATTTATTATGATAAGTATTTAGGCTGGATTCGAAAATGCTCTATCTCTAGATACATAATTAATAAATGACATTGTATCTTGTGAACTATTGATATTTTTAAACATATAAGCTCACCTTGACATTACACTCATCAAGACCTTTCATTTGAGTACCCATATCAATTTTTTATAAATTTTATATATAATATATATAAATATATGAAAAATATATCAAAATGCATGTGGGTACTCAAATGAAAGCTCTTGATGTGTGTAACATCGGGATGAGCTTACATCCTTAAAAATATCAATAATTAAGAAATGGCCTCGTATCTTGAGAACTATTGAAATTTTAAAGATGTAAGCTCACCTCGACATTACACTCATCGAGACCTTTCATTTGAGTACCCACATGCACTTTTCATATATTTTATAAATATCATATATATGAAATATATAAAATATATGAAAAATGCATGTGGGTACTCAAATGAAAGCTCTTGATGAGTGCAACATCGGGATGAGCTTATATCTTTAAAAACTTCAATAGTTAAAAAAGTACAGTACAATTTAACAAATGTCATTATTTAATAAACCAAAATTCTATTTATTTATAGTTCACAGTCATTGCAGTCACGTAGTGACTGCAAAATTGCTAGTTGACATTAATTATATTAAAAAAAAAATACAGGAATAATTTTTATAAATTTTTATTACTAATACTTGTTATACATAAATTAATGAGCTTCTAATAAAAACAGATTAACGAAACATTGCACATCTTAAAAAAAAATACACCTAAAACTAAAACTACTAATTTACAACAATTCATTATTAATCATAATCAACATAATGCCTAAATTAATTATAATTATAAATAATAATAGTATTTATTACACATTACAATTTATCTTATATATATAAAAAACAAACAATTTATGTGCATTTTACATCGTAGCTTTTTAAGTATTTAAAAGGCACACTTTTATTTTGAAAAAATTTGATAACGTGTGTTATTATAATTATTTATGATTTATGACACACGCACTAAATTTATTATAATTATTATTAAAATTCTTAGACTTTGAGTATTTTTTGTTTATATATTTTACAGTCTTTAATTTAATTGTTCAACAATAAAAATATTAATATTAAAAGCGCTAAACTAATTTCTTAATTAGCTGCTGATTTTTTTTTTAATTTAATAATAAAATTATTTTTAATTTGTAATTTAATTTGCGTATACAGTACAGTTTAATTTATTTATATATATAATATAATATTACAATATTTATATCAATATCTTTATTGGCAAGCTTTAAAAATTTTAATTAAAAATTTTTAAATAAAAATTTTCTTAATCCGAGATCACGGATTTCTTTTTTAGATTAAGAAAAAATTTTTTTTTATTTAAAAAAATCATTATAATTATTTTGATATTTATTTTTTTTTAAGTAGTAAGTGAAAAATTAAAACTTATGAGGACGCTATAAAATAATAATAATTTGCAACATTTAAATACACTATTAAAATATCTAAAAAGATAAAGCTGCAAATTGAATACTGTGGTGATAAATGTTCTTCCCTATCTCGTATCTTTACACGAAAATCTCAATCATTTCTTCATCTATTTCTTCCACCTCCACCTCCAACTTCTCCTTTTGTTATTCGGATTTGCTTGGTAGTACTCTTGGGAACAGCTGTAATTTATAAATGATTTCATTAATTATTATCCAACTGTAATTTTATTTTATATCGGAATTGTATTATTATTTATTATTTATCAATATTAATGAATTTATTTTGGTTTGATAAAAAATTTATCTAATAAATATTGAGATAGTTCATTACATAGTTCATTAAAAAAATTTTTTTTTCTTGCTGATAATTTTAAAATATTATTTTATAAAAATGAAAAAAAATAATATTTACCCCTAAGAAATTGCGTGGAACATATCCCTCACGATGTCCTAGTCTACTCCACCACCACTCTCGTTCATTGTCATCTCCTTTTCTAATTATTTCCAATTGATCGCCAAATTTAAGCGATAGCTCGTCGTTATGCTGCGCTTCGTATTCGAACACCGCGTACACTTGTCCGTTGTTCATAATGCCCAACTTTTCCTGAACACCTTAAAATAAAAAAAAACTCTTATTAATTACACTGCTTATAAATAAATAAATGAATAAATAAATATTTAGTCCCATCGAACGCAAAATAAAAATACCGTCATATATTTTCTAAGAAAAACCAAACCAGTATCTTTTTGTAATTAATTAAGCGTTTAATTAGTACAAACGTGGAAAAATGGTAAAAAAGCAGCATGTTTACTCAGTTTGATGGTAATAAATTCTTTTAATTAACAAGTTAAAAATAAATATATATATATACGTACTATACAAATACTCAGAACAACCGTCGAAACCTTCTTCGTCCTCTTCGCACTTCTCGGCAGCGGTTTCGTGGTCAGACCAAGTTGTTGCAAAAATACACGCTCCGTGTTCAACAAGAAATTTTACCATCCCCAGATTGTTACAGCTCGCGGCGCAGTGTAACGGTGTCCTGTTAATTAAAATATATTAATATTAATCATTTTTATTAAAAAATTTTTGATTAAATAAATAAATTACACTGTAAAAAATTTTTATGATTTTAAATTGATTTTATAATTTTTTAAATTGAATTACAATTACAAAACAAATATTAAGAAAATTTCTAATAATTTGAAGCAATTGCATCAATATTTTTTTTTTAATTTTTACAAGTACATTTTTTAAATAAATTCTCTCTTTAATCTATATTATTAAAAGAGTAAGAAAAATTTTGTTTTTATCTTTAAATACATAATTAAGAAATGACCTTGTATCTTGTGAAATATTGACATTTTTAAAGATATAAGATCACCCTGACATTACACTCATCGAGACCTTTTATTTGAGTACCCACATCAATTTTTCATATATATTTCATATATTTATAAATGTATATGTATATATGAAAAATATATCAAAAATGCATGTGGGTACTCAAATGAAAGCTCTTGATGAGTGTAACATCGGGATGAGCTTGTATCTTTAAAAACGTCAATAGTTAAAAAAGTACAATGCAATTTAACAAATATCTTGTGAACTATTGACATTTTTAAAGATATAAGCTCACTCCGACATTACACTCATCGAGACCTTTCATTTGAATAGCCACATCAATTTTTCATATATTTTATATATTTATATGCATTATATATATGTATATATGAAAAATGCATGTGGGTACTCAAAAGAAAGCTCTTGAAGAGTGTAACTTCGGGATGAGCTTATATCCTTAAAAACGTCCATATTTAAGAAAGTACAATGCAACTTTTTTATTTTTTCATTTTTTAGCTACAATTTATTTGTAAAAATTATCAAATATCTAGAAAATTATTTTACTAGATATTTAATAATTTTATAACAAATAAATTCTTGGAAAAACAAATAATTGACATTTCTATTTTTTTAAAATAATTTTTTTCAAAAAAATTTTCTTGTTAGATAAAATAAAAAAATTGTCTGCTAAATTTAATGTAATAAAAAAAAATCATTAGTGTAATAAAAAATAAAAAAAAAATACTAACCATCCATCGCTATCCTGAGCATTGACATCGCACCCGAATTCCACCAAGAATTTAACAATATCAAAATGTCCCGCGCAAATGGCATTATGAAGCGCAGTGATGCCTTCGTCATTAGCGGAACTGGGATTAGGAACTTCCTGAGCGGTTTTTTTGACGAGCTCCAGCTCGCCTTCGAGACTGGCGTCGAGCAGAAGAGCCAAGGGATCAAAGGAAACCCTCCTGGACATATTAGCTTTCCCGGTTGTCGACTTTAAATTTCCCTTTTTGCGCCTAATCACCTCAGCCTTGGCATCAGCGCTGTCTGTCTCGGCTTTCCGATCCTGACCGGTCCCATCCTTCTTCAATTTATCCTCGATATTAATTACATTCAAGGCCTCAACGATATCCGAGTCCTCGAGCTTCTCGTTACACGGAACCTCGTCATCAGTCAACGCCGGTGCTTTGAGGCTGGTGTGATCAATAACGTCACTGGATACCACCGGCTGTTGTTGTTGTTCCGTTTGCATAAGATCTGCTGGTATCTCAGTTTCAGGGAACAAAAATGCCGGCGGCATTTCAATGCGCCGGTTTATTGACACATGGACATTTGATTTTGAATAGCGCAGGCGAGGCTGCTCTGATAGTAATACTTTTTTCAGTGTCAGTGGACGCGCTTTTATTATCTGGTGGTTCCCGATTGCTGGAACTTCATTTGGAGAATCTGGCGGAGGCTCGCTCGTTGGAATTGGCGGTATTTCTTCTTCTTTGTCGCTCCTGAAAATATTTTTATTTTTTATTAATCAAATGTTATTACTTATTCTAAATATTGTTTAAAAAATTTAGAGAAAAATTTTTTAACCAAGAAAATTATTTTTAAGAGCTTCATTCTCTTGATTTATGTAATTTTGTAATTTTTTTTATTCTGCTTGTTTTTGCAGTGCATTTATGGTTAAAAATATCGTGAAAGAAAAAAATAAAGATTTCGATAGCTTTTTTTGTCTTCAAAAGTTGGAAAAAATTTTGGCTGTCATGGTTTTGGATAAAATTTCTATTTTATCTTTTTTTGATACATTTTTTTTGAAAAAGTACATAAAAAAGTAAACATCAACTTTTTATTTTATATTGTTCATTCATTTATGTATTTAAAAAAAAAAATATACCAAAATTTTCCAAAAAAAATTTTGTTCAAAAAAATGAAATTTAAAATAGAGGACCCCACTTTTAAATAATTAACAAAATTTTTTGCAAAAAGCTCAAAATAATTTTCTTAGTTAAAATAAATTTTTTAATGAATCAAATTTAATTTTTTTTTCTGTTTATGTAATTAAAAAAATAAGAAAAATTTTATTTAAATTATAAAATGATTTTTTAAGTTACATTTAATGTAATTAAAAAAGAATTCATATGATTTTTTTAATTATTAATTTATTATAATTTTTTGGAGTATTTATGAATAAATAAATTAGAATTTCAAGCTAGATAAAAAAATACTTGAGAAATTTTTTGAAAAATTCTCATGCGCGCGTAATTTATGTTGTCAATCTATCCTCCATCTTGTCCGCCTCAATTCAAAACTTCAAAACAATTTTTTGCATAAGTTTGAAAATCAAAAATATAAATTATTAATTTTTACATTAAAAAATTAACAAAATTTTACCTCATCTATTCCAAATTCATCTCTAAAATTTTTTTATTCCAATTTTTCCTTAAAACTCACTACACTAAAATTTTTTCACTACAAACTACTCCCATTTTCACGAAGATATTATTAATCTCTCACCCAATAATTAACAACATAACAACCTAATGGGCATCTAATGGAGGATGACATAACTCCTCAATTCACTAAATAATAGATTTGCCCAATTAATCAGGTTAAGCAATAATGAATTAATATCCCAGAGAACAACACTAAACCGCTTATCAATCACTAGCATCATCTATCCAATAATTATCAGAATGACGGACTAGAGAGCCAATGGTATCAAACAATTGTCACTGGGTAATTGTATCGCATGTTACTATCTATTTCAGTATCTATTTATTTGTATCCCACCGACGGATTTCCTACTCAGCCAAATCGATCGCGTACTAATTAACATTTATAATTAAACTGATAAACGTAATTGGGTTGGTTTCTTTTTTCGACTTATAGACTCAATAGAAAGTCTTATATCGGTGCAATACCATAACAATCATAATTAATTAATATAATATCATTTTTATAATTATTTGTAATTTAATGGGTTTGTGATTTATTATAATTTTAAAATTTCTTTTATTTATAAAAGTTAATATAAAAAAATTAAAAGATAAAATTGAACAAGTAGATTTTTAAAATTATACGTGCAACTTTTTTTTTATTTACAATTTAATTGATAAAAAATTTTTAATGAAAATTAAATTAGCCGAAATCTAAAAATTTTAATAATTAATTTCATTGAAAAAATTATTACAAAAAAATTATAATTTTTTCTAAGTATTTTTTCGCATTTAATTTAATTATTAAAAAAAATAAAAAATTATTAAACGTTGACTAATTTTAGTATCATTAATTCAGACCTCAAGATCATTATTAATAATTAATATAAAACTTTCATAATTAAATTCTCATTAAAGACAAACTCAAACAAAATCCCGCTCAATTAACTATCAATCCCAAACTAAAACAAAAATCACTTAATTAACAACTATTGATTTAAGATAATTCTGAATAAGATAATTATTAATGTAATTATCAATGTTTCCATAATAATCGAGAAACTCACCTAGTGAATACAGCGGGCGACTTAACTCCCTCGGAGACTATCGTATCACCTTCAGGCTTATCCTGGCTGTTCAACCTGGGGGGTGGATTAGGCTTAATGGGTTTAGGCGGTAGCGCGGGTTTCATCTTGTCCTCACATTTGTTCTCAATCAGAGTCCCGGTTTTCCTTTCATTGTCCGGCTTAGCCCGCTCGTACTCGTACAACTTCTCCGGGACCTTTGCGGGGGGTTCCAATTTCGCAGAATGATCGTGCTTGATCTCGAACTTGGTGACTGGAACGGGATGTTCCTTTGCGTTAGCCGGTTCCGAGTACTTGTTAAGCTCCTGCTGCTTAAACTGTAAATTAGCGGGCTCGTATTTGTACTGTGAGTGCTCGTATTTAGACCTGATTGAATTATCGTGTCCTTCGTGGCCCTTGGTCGCAAACTGATGAGTCTGTATCGACCCGTTTTCGAACCTAGTCTCTTCGTTAGAATTTGCCGGACCGGTTGTCGAACTGACGCCCAGTTTTTTCTCTAATTTCACCTCGGAAGTGGTTCCTGGAGCCGTGGGGGGAGGATTTGCCGTAGTGGTCGGGTTGTAGCTCATCGGAGCGGGAAATCCTGGAAAGTTAGCGCTTCCCAAGTTGCTGAGCGACGCCTGGGGGAAATTGTTGAGGGGATTTTTCACAAAGTTGCTCGAAGTGAAGGTATGCCTCGGGTAAGTCGTCGTGGTGACCGTCGTCGCTTCTACAGCGGTCGTTGAAGCATTTGAATTTGGATTTGGGCTGTTGGAATTTACACTTGTAGGCTGGACGATAGATCGCTCGTTGTAGCTCTGGATTTGCGGTCCAGGGTGACCGCGACCAATTAAACTTAGTGTCTGAGGCATCACCGGGTGGATCTTTGTCGAGGATGTTTGATATATTGGAGACTTTACCGGGAAACTCGGCGCTACGCTGGACACTGGCTTTGCGTGGGTCGCTAGGTTTCGGTGATTGTGCGACTGAGGAATTGAGGATTTTTCTTGGATTGAAGTGGGAACCTGCTTCTGGTGGGCGAGCGGCCGAGAACTTACTAGGTTTTGATTTTCAATGCTTTGATTGCTGGTGGGAGGTATCACGATGTTGTTATTGTTATTGGTGGTGGTTGTGATGATTGCCGGGCTGTTATTGTTGCTGGTGGTTGAGTGCGAGATAAAGTTTGATGGTTGGGTGGCAAAAGTTTGAGCAGTCGTGTGCTGCGGTGGTGATAATTGCTGGAGTTGTACTGAAGGCTGATTTATTCCTAATAGTTGAGATTGACCTGAAAGTTATAATAATTGTGTTAGGTGTTTGTTGGGGGAATTTTTTATTGTTTAGAAACTATTATTATATCTATTATTAAGAGAATAAGAAAACTCTCTAGTTACATAATTAAGAAATAACCTTGTATCTTATGAAATATTGACATTTTTAAAGAGATAAGCTCATCCCGATGTTACATTCATCGAGACCTTTCATTTGAGTACCCATATCAATTTTTTATATATATATTATATATTTATATATATTATATATATGTATATATGAAAAATATATCAAAATTCATGTGGGTACTCAAATGAAAGGTCTTGATGAGTGTAATATCGGGATGAGCTTATATCGTTAAAAACATCATTTATTTTCTAAGTTTAGTCAATTAATATTGAATTTTTTTTTTTTATAAAATTCTGTTTATTTAAATTTATTTTTGTCGTATAATTTTGCAAACATTTAATTAAATATATAATAAACTAATTTTCAAACTAAATTAATCTAAAACTAAGTAAACATAATAAATAAATCAATTATAAATTTTTTTTTTAATTCAATATTCAATATTTTTAATTCAATATTCAAAAAGTTCCTGAACTAACAATTTTTTTAGTGAAGACAATTTAAATAATTAAAAAAAAATCGTGTGCCAGCTTCGATAAATCACATCTCGTTTTACCAATTATTATCATCATTATTTCCCCGAACAATTAAAAATAAAAAAAAAATAACAATCTCGTTAAAGAATTTGACTAATAGGAAAATAACAATTTACCTTGAATGTGTAACTGTGATTGACTGTGTGCAATTTGCTGCTCTAACTGCTGTAAAGTTGCCCGTTGTCCAATTTGCGACGCGCTCTGACTATGTTGAATTTTGTTGCTGTTATTTTTATTAACATCATCATCGATGGGCTTGAGATTAACGGTGAATTTAGTGTTGTACGGCAGCGTCTGATACTTGGGGTCGTTCTTGTTAATGTTAAAATTGTTCTCATTATTGTCATTGTTCGGAATATGGCTGTAGGGCTCAATCGCCGCGATATTGCCCGCGGGTCGCAATTTATTATTGTTATTATTGTAATTATTGATGTTGTTATTATTATTATTATTGTTGTTGTTGTTGTTATTATTATTATTATTGTTGTTGTTGTTGTTGTTGTTGTTGTTATTGATATTTGTGGAGGTCGTAATGAAGTCTTGATGATGTTTGTTCGACTGGTCGGTGAGACAGGGCGTCATTGTGGTGCTGGTGGAACTCGTAGTTATTGTCGAAGCAGAGCTCATTTGATGATGATTGTTCGCTATTTGTTGTTGGGTTAGCAAACGCTGGTTTAATGCGCGTTTACGTTGCAATCTACCTTGCAGTTGAGCTATTCGCGCGTCTATTGATACCATTTCTGCTTGACGCTGCGCCAGGACTAATCTTTGCTGGGACACTACTTGATTTTGTTGTTCGTTCATTTTGTTGCGAAACTGAAATTATTTTTATTATTTTACAAAATATTTCTTATTATTTATTTAATTATTATTATCCTTAAAATAGGATATTTTTTTTTATTCACAATACTAATTTTTTTAAATTAAACCCTTTAATAGTTTTAATTTGGAGTTATTTTTATTTTTATCCTATGTTTTAGTGGTAATTTTTGCCATTTTTTGCTGCACGAAAAAAAGTAAAGTTGTAATATAATATTAGCGGGGATTTTATCAATTTTTTAGCTTTAAATTATTTTAAACAGAATAAAAAATCCTTGAAAAAATTTCATAATTTTTTATATTTAAAAAAATAGATTGCTATTTATTATAATTAAAGAAAAATCTAAATCTTGAACTTACCATAAGCTCTCGACGCAGTTTTTCAAGCTCAGCACTAGCAGTAGACGGTACTTGGCCCCCGACGGCACTTCCAGCAGCATTTCCGTTGTGTCGACCACGCAACTCCTCGAGTTGTCGTGTCAGCTCCTCAACCTTAGCGACAGCCAGCGATAATTCTTTTTCTTTTTCATTGAACAGGGCTCTTATACAGTCTAGGTCGGAGGCTGCAAGCACACAACAATAAATAAGATAAAAAAAACTATTAATAACTATGAGTATAAGTATATATAAGATGACACTGGGGATTAGTTTTGTCGAGGGAGATTAAATTTATAGCAAAAAAAAATAGAGCTAAAAATTTATTATAGACATTGTGTAATGTAATACAATATAAAATCGATCGATAGATTGGTATGCTCTAAAAAACGTCGAGACAATACCAAGAGGCTTTTCATTTATATATATATATATATATATATATATATATATATATATATATTTTTTTTATATATATATATATATATAATTTTTTTTTTTTAAATGAAATTTATTAAATATAAAAATATTTAATTATAAAATTTAATGAGTGAAAAAATTTTAATTACATGATCAAGATACCTTTTTAATGAATCTTTACAAATTTATAATGAGATGTAAGTCAAAAAAAAAATTTATTTATAAATATTATTTTTAAACAATTAATCCCGGACTAAGATGAAAAACATGACACATTTTAACCAGAATAATAAAATGACAAACAAAGGAACGAAATTTGAAAAGAGCTTTTCACACCTCAAGTAGTTTGTTTTGTGTATTATACACTGAAATAATATAATAATAAAGAGGAAAAGACGAAAGAGAAAAAATATTTCTTTGTCTTTTTAGTTAAGAGCGGATCTTGTGAGCTGCATAATATAAAAGCCTGCGACCCACGCGTACGTCCAAATAAACGAGCTCCGAGGAAAGAGTTTGTCGGGTAAAAAATTTGGTGAAAAAGACAGAGACGAGGTGCGGCAATAGTGACATAATGACTTCAAAGACTGCCTCTAACTACCCCCGTCTTCATTATTTTCTTTTCATGCTTTTAATTCTACTTACAGCCACGTACATTCGGGATGGAAGTTGATTACATCGTGGATAAGCAAGTAATTTATGACACAATGCTCTAATTTTCGGTATTTACCCTAGAAAACTCGTCGCTTGCTTTTATAAATATTAAACTGCTTGATTAATTTTTTAAAAGAGCGTTCTAGAGCTTGAAAAGAAAGTTTTTGCAGTATGAACGAAGATTATTGACAAAATGGCGGAGTTTATGAAATGGCGGGCTTAATTTGAGGTTCTGGGTTCGAATCCCGCTTTAATATTTTTTTTTTTTTTTTTTTAAATAGCTAAGTCAAAAATAATTGTACTAAATATAATAAAAATAAAAATGTTAAAATAATCTACAGTTGAAAAACAACTCCAACTTTTCAGCATAAAAAACAACCCGCAGATTATTGATGAAGGCTTTAGCAAGCCGACTGTTAAAACCACCGGTTATCCAGCTGAATAATTTTTACAACCAAATAAATATATATAAGAATAAATTTTTATTATATAAAACTAAAATCGGTTTCCAATACTCGATATTTGAGGCTTTTATCTATCTGAAACCCCCCCCCCCTGATTTTATTGTTCAAACTCGGACTTTTATTTACAATTTTCTTCGGCTATTTTTCTTTGGATCTTTATGGACTATAGCACCGCTGTGCAACAGCTAAACGATATATACCTTTGCAAACAAATTTATGGAGCTATTAAAGTCTGAAAGAGTTTGAAATTATAGGTAATCGTTAACTTGACTTCTAATCGGGCTATCGAAGACTCTATAATGCTAGTGTTCGGTTAAATATATTTTTATTACTAATTGTAAATTGTAAATGTTTTTCAGTGTGAGCTTTGAATTATTTAGTGATTCATACTGACAATAAGTAGGAGGTTAAATTAAAGCCTATATAAATTACAAGATTAAAAATATATACAATAGAGAGAAAATTCGATTTTATGTATTATATAATGGCCATCAATTTTAACTTGGCATTTATCTTTTTTTACATGAAAAAACTTTTAAAAATTATAATAAAATTAATTATTTAAGAAAATTTGAAAAAAAACCAATTTTAGGTAGACAACTTCAAAATTTTTATCTAAAATTCTTTTTTAACTATTAATTGATCAATAAATAACTTTAAGAATAATAAGTAACTTTTAGTTAAAACTTTCATCCAACTAAAAAAACATTCGAAGTTGTAACACTTGCAGTTTTTTCTCCAAGGTACCTCTATTTACTCTAAAAACTCTCATTTTTCCACTTCTCTTTTTTTCCGTGCCATAATAATGAGACTAACACACTTTCTTGAAAGTAAAATATGGAGAAATTTTTTTTTATTTAAAACATTTTTTACTTTTTGTTAGTGGCGAAAAAATTAGAATTTAAATAAAACGTCAGATAAAAATTAGCGATTAAAAACGATGAATAAGATATAGTGTAGCATAAAAAAACGCTGAGACTGCAATGATATTCTCGTGGTAGTGTAAGTATGAATGGCATTATCACCGAGTTTTTATAATGGAGAATAGACATCAGCATTTGCTCGGATGCCGGGGTTTAAACTTTTGCGGACGTGATGAGAGTGTTGGGCTCGGAGCAGGATGCTCCGAGCTCAACTTTTTACAATTGAAAGACACTTTATAGATATACACTCAGGTGTGTGCCAACTTGAACTATTACTGTATGGAACCAACACCGCGCTCTGAGTTGAATGTAAAGAGCCCGCTGTGGGTTAGCAATTTAAGAGACAGACATTACAACATCCCTTTTTCAAACATGACCTATTTTAAGATAATAATTCATATTCGAACAGTACTTATTATCCCAAGGATGTTTTCGATCTGTGACTTCGACATTTCCGGATTTATAGAATTAAATCATGGATTATAATAACACACTTTAATAAAAGAATTTGTTAAAGATGAATAAATTGATTTGTTGACTGTTCAGAATATTTTTTTTTTTTTTAAGTTATGAATAAATTATTTTTTGATTATTGAATTACTTTTTTAGATAAAAAATTTTTTTATCAGGATACAAAAGAAATATGTGAGAGAAAATTTAGAAGAAATTTAAGTCCATTTTTTTTTTCAATTGGCACTAAATAATTTTATAACTTAAGATTTATTTTTAAAGGTAAAAATAAAATAATAAAAGTTTTAAAACAATATAATTATTTTATTTTAACCAAAATTGTTTAATTTTGAACCATCTAAAGCGATTATAATTTTTTTCATAAATTATCGAATGAAACTTCAATTTAAAAAATAAATTTTCCACTATCTGAGCAAATAAAATTAAATCGAATTTCCCCAAAAGAACAACTGTGAGAATAAAATTTGTCGAATCCTCCCGAGCCTACGCAAATAAATTTCGGCATTATAAATCAGGGAAGAAAGACAATATCACTTGATACCGATAAAAAATCCAGGCACAGAAAGAGAATAAGGAAAAGATCGAAAGCAGAAAAAAGTCAAAAAAAAAAAAAAAAAAATGTGGAATTGCCCCGATATTGCTTCCTATCACAAATCGAGCTTAGATACCAAGAATAGGGGTATCAAATGTCAGTGGACGTTTATTCGATACGTGAAATTTATACAATTCTGCGCATCTTCTTTTCTTTCTATCCCTACAGTGCCATCCCCGTTCTATTCTTTTTCAAAGAGTTCAATAATGCCGGGAGAAAAAACAAAATACATTAGACTACTTTGTTCGATCTAACTTTTATTCATATTCTTCATCAATACAATATATTTGCAATAGATATCTTTTTGATCCATGCATTCATTTGTTCCTCGAAAAATATATTTCAATGCCAAAATAATCGAATTCTGCAATCCTCAACTTGAAATAAAGCTCTTGTTTTCGATCCACTTGTTATTTTCCTTGATTTTTTATTTTTATATAAAATACTCGTTTAAATGCAACCGCACGAACGCATTCAGCTGCATTTTCCGGCAACACCTCGAATCTCTTTCTGTAACTATATTCCCTGGTTGTTAGATTTTTTCTTCTTATTTTCCACTCACTTTTTCACAATTTTCCTCAATGCACGTCTGCTAAACGGCATTCTTCTGTTTTTAAACCAACTCCATCTAGAAATCCACCCTCTCACTGTATTTACTCCCTTATCCTCCTCCTAAACTCACTACTTTACTATTATTATTATTATTACTTTATTTCTTACCTTATTCTCACGAGAATTATCTCCATCCATTCATAAAACTAGTTCGCAATAATCCAGCTCTTCACATTCTTTCGGTGCTTATATAAATAAAGTTATGTTTATTTTACTTATATATTTTATTAGGACATTTATTACTTCACCATTGATCTCGAAAATGATTCTGAATAATCCTAAGGTTCTAGTGAGAGTTGTGAGTGAATAAAAAATACTACAAGCTGAATTACTTTCTATAAATGCGAGGAAAAATCCTTGAATAAATCATTATATAGAACTTTGGTACTTTCAATGGAAATAGAGAACTTCGAAGTACACAATGAGATTTAATAAAAATGGGTCAACAAATTTTTAAAATCATTTTTTATTTAGCTGAATTTTTTTTGGTATCAAAATTTATTCTTAAATCTATATATGTTTATTATAAAAAATTTTAAATTATAAATTGAGTAGTTTTATTAAAAAAATTCAAATTTTCAACAATTTTTTTTTAATTTGTAAATTTCAAAAAATTAATTAATTATTTTTAAAAAATTATTAAAATTTTAAGTAAATTTTTCCGATAATTATTTAATCAAAAAAAATATTTTTATCAATAATTTTTTTTAATTATAATTTATAAAAATTTAATTCTAAGATAATTGCGTTAAAATTTTCAGCGGAATAAAAAATATAAGCTCCGAAGTATTTAAGGTAGTACTACCGTTACCATAAGTGTCAAATCCTAAAACCTAATCTTATTTGATTAACGTAGTAGATTTCCCTATACTAAATTACGTTGGAGAAAGAGAGACAGAGATGAATTTTGAATGTTTTTTATTAATAAATATTCCCATATTCTTGGAAACCATACAGATTGTTACTAAATATGTTCTAGATGTTATTTCCTCTCGTTGTGTTGATTTTTATAAGAATCTGAACGTCCAGTTTTGTGAAATAAAATAAAGTCTGTGATTCTCCATAAGGATCAATGGTAAAAGCAAAAATA